CAGTCTAAGAAAAGTTGGAAGAACCACTGGGAAGTTAGACACGAGTGGACAAAGCATGGCAATTCTGCATTAAATGCCTGGTAGAGAAGCACCTGAGCTAGACTTAGAGTTCATGAAGCTTATGCCAGGGATTGCCAGTGTGGTGCCTGCAAGGGCACAGGTACCCTGAGAGGCATTTCCTGGTGGGTGGGTGGTGTGCTCACAACAGCTTCTCCAGTTTGCAAACATGCCCAGAAAGGTTAATGACCCTTCACTAATGCCATAATGAATTTGTCAATAAAGCATCACAAGACTCTTTAGTTGCTTTTGCTACACATACTGGCATGGCTACTTCTCTGGAAATTGTTTTATAGTGTTGTTGGAACTGATTTATTTTGCTTTTTTATATATTAAAAAAACCCCCGGTTAACTGCCTTGCGCAGCTTCTTTACAAAATGAGTATTTCCTGACCTATTATTTCAATTTGTAGTACCAACCTGGAAAATTCTCTGTGGCCTCCCTGGGATGCTTTGCATTCCAGCGGCTTTGAAGTCTTCTATTCCCTGCACTTTTGCATGCCTAGCTTGCTCGCAAGGAAAGAGCTTTCGCAGCAGAGGCAACTCCAAAGTAAAACTGCAGAAATCTACATTTCCTCCTCCCCCAACCACTGTGCACTGTAGTATCAAGATAACTCGCCCTGGAGTAACCTGCAGCTAAAAGGCAAAAGTGAAATTGTGCCAGAGGAGGAGGAGGAGATGGTGGTGATGATAAGCGCCAATGCAAACCACGGCTCCAGACCAGGCGGCACATTTGAGACGGGTTTTATCGGAAATTACGAAACCAAGGCTGTGTGGAAGAGCCTGGAAGAGTACAGATGGCATAAGACACTTGACATTTCAGAGCGCATTGTGTGTGAGAGACAGTGACCTCATTCAGAGACCTATTGCATCCTAATGAATCCCACAAGGAGGAGGCCCAACGTTACCTTTAGTTAAACACCACGTTCCGCCTTCCTCTCCTGACAAAAGCTCTCTTTTATTCCCAAGGGACTTGTTCCCTCTTAAGAGCCCAATTTTATAGCTGTTAAAATATTGATCCTTTCATCAACGCCCTCTTCACATTTCCTGGAGTGTTTGTTCAGTTGTGCAAGCCACTGAACCCAGCGACAGAGTGTTGGCTCTCTGGGGGTGGGCCTCCTCAACCTGAAGCCTTCAGGGTGTGCCAATCCATTCTCCACCCCACCCCACCCATTTGCTAAGCTCACAGAGGCGTCCGACCTGGAGCCTAGATCCATAGAGCTTGGTAGGGCTACAATCCATCAAGCACAACCCCCTCACATACATCCAAATCCATCTACACTACAAACTAGGGGCAGAGCATATACCATGCATTTAGAGCACATGGTCTTCCCCCAAAGAATTCTGGGAAGTGTAGTTTGTTAGGGCTGCTGGGGACTGTAGCTCTGTGAGGGTGAAACTAAAGTCCCCAGGATTCCTTGGGGAAGTCTATGTGCTTTAAATGTATGGTATGGATCTGCTCTATTGCAAAAGTCCACAGAGACAGGCAGAAATCAAAATCTCTATATGAATCAGGGAGAATGGAAACTATATCACCTGAAATTCAAAAAAGAGGAATTAATAATTTTTTTAAAAAACGCAATTACTTTTGATGCCCTCCTTGTTCTCAGACTCTCAAGGGCTTGGCACTATTTTGTAAATAGAGAGCTTTTCTCTGCAGCAGGAGACAAACAAGGTAGATAAGCCGTTCTCTGGGCTGGGGCTGGAGGGCTTTCTGCAATAACCTCTGCTATTCCAGTCTAGAATTTTAAACTCAAATAAAGAGAGACAAAGTGCAAACTAATATTACCAGACTCGAGCAAAGTTCATATGGGTAGACAGACAGACAGACATATACACATACACACAGGGCCATTGGCTGTCCTGGCCTGAGATGAAGGGAGTTGCAGAAACAACATCTGGAAAGCCACCAATTCCCCATTCCTGATACATGTGTGTTTCCTTTGAAGCTAATAAATGCTAGTGGGGACCAAAAACACCACTGTCACCAAACCTACAATCAGGTAAGAATCATGGTTGGTTCCCAAACAGGGAAACTGATGGAAATTCAAAACTGTCTAGAAATTTCACCCTCAGACTCCCTGCCTATTATCTCCAATGAATGGGGGCAGGCTTTGGTTACTCAGCAGTGAGAAAAGAGCTTTTCACAGGCTCTTTCGAGTCATTCACTGATGTGAACTGAGCCCTAGCATTATAGATATTAAAGCAACCAGCACAAAACATTCCAGGGCCCAAAGCGCAAAAGAAGAAGAAAAAGGCTACATTTCCCGCTAACACAGGAGCTGATCCACTTGGAAGTTCTGCTTTGCAAATCCCCACTGAAATGAGTGGAAGTTGCACAAGAATATGGTCAGGAAACATGGGACCCATTTCCCCAAAAAACTTCTCCTACACAAGCCTAGTTGGAATAAAAAATAGTTATGCCCCTACTGAAAGATCTGAACAAAAAGACCTGGAGAAAGGAATGTAGAAAGCTGTATATGTAGAAAGTCAGACCATTGGTCCATCTAGCTTAGTACTGACTGGCAGCAACTCTCCAGGGTTTCAGGCAGGGAACATTCCCTACCCTATTTGGAGATGCCAGGGATTGAACCTGGGACCGTCTGCATGCAAAGCAAATGCTCTACCACCGAACCTTGCCACCCCACCCCCAAAGACCATAGCTCAGTGGTAGAGAACTTACGTTGCATGCAGGAAGTCCCAGGTTCAAATCCTGGTAGTTACTTAAGTTTTAGAAAGGCCAGGGGACTAGATAGAGAGGCCAATAGGGCTGCACCTGGCCTGCAGTCAAGTTGTGGAAAACCTCTGCCAGAGATGGAGAACTGCTGCCAGGGAGGATAGTGAGCTAGATGGAGACTGTGACCCAGTCTATTTCTCTCACTCTGTTGCCATTACGACACCCAACCGCTCCCATCTGAAGCAGCCACCGTGGCCAACCACCTGACCTTAAGAGCAGATGCCAGGGTCCAGGCAGAACTCTAGGGACACAGGAAGCTGTTCATAGCAGCTCAGACTATTTGTCCAAGGACTGTCAAATCTGTCTAGCAGCTCCAAGGCAGAGAAAAGTCCGTCTCATCAACTGCTGTTGTGACATCTTTTTTAATGGAAGCTGCCAGGGATGAGCGATGGTCCTTCTTCACAAGTGTTATGGTCCTGAATAAAACTTCTCCAGCACGTACCTTACACAGTCCAGCTATTCCACCTCCTGGAGAATCCTTCCTTACAGAAGCGATATTCTCCTCCCATCCAAAACAAATATCAAAGACAGAACTGGAATTATACCTCTATTCAAAAAAAGACGAAGGCCAGAGATCTTCCTCAGCAGAGCTACATTCAGTGATGAACTGGTGGGACTGGAGAGGCAGAAAGTGCAACACTGACACCAAGAAAGAAGAATAATTCCCTTTGAACTCACATCTTATCTGTTACCAGCTGCAAAGATGTTAATGGCTCAAAACTTGAAAGTTGCATTACTCCCTTCTTGGAAAGAACAGCTAAGAACTGCAAGTGAACATATAACTGCAGTCTAAGAACTGCAAGTGAACATATAAATAGATTCTGGGGAAACTGGTTGCCCTGTATAAATATTGTCAATAAAATAATTCCCGTGAATGCAAATTCAAGTAGGTTTTGAATTTTCTGGAAGGGAATGTTGTAATTTTATATTAAGTCATATTTTCTTACAGGATATTATGGTTTGATCCTTGCAGCCTCCCCCCCCCCCCGGATTAGCTTTGTTCATTGTTGTTAATAACTATCAAATGGTTAAAAAAATTAGGGGAAAAAGGAGCGGAAACTGACACCTAGTGCTACCCCTAGCCCTGTGGTAAGGATGAAGGCAGGCAGGCAGAGGCTGGCTGAGAGCACAGTGAGGCTGCTGGGGCACTGCCCCACTTGCCCATATGCACCAGCCTGCACTGCAAGTCGGGAAACTGCTTTGTTTACAATCCAAGCCAAAGTCTTTGGCCCTCTGGCACAGGCCAGCCCCAGCCCCAACAGCCGGAGCAGATTCACCAGCTGGCTTTACAGGCCCTCTGGCTTCCCCCTGCCTTTGTGTCAGAGCAAGGCAGGCCCCGCCATCCTACCTGAATCTAGACAGAGGGAGCCTAAGCCAATTCCCCCAAGGTCCTACCTGGGTAGCAAGGAACTGGGTCGACACCCCATCCCTGGATGAGGTTCTCACCAGCAGAGGAGGGTGTGACGTCATAGGGAAGGGTGCATGATTCATGCGCTGCCTTAGAACATACACCCCCTCTCTTTGAAAGCGAGGGCGCCCGTGGGGGAGGGGAGAACTTGCACGCCGACGACCACTTCTGCACCCCCCTCAATACACCGGGGGGGGGGTTCTGGGCAGCAGGAGGAAACACGAACAAAGCACAGAGGAGGAAAGCGGTGCTCCACGGAAATTGAGATGTCTCGTAGGAGGGCGGGCAGGCAGGAAACAGAAATTACCTAGGGAAAAGGAGGGAGGCAAGGAGGAAGAGCATTTTGGGAAGCCCTTTGTATGCTGGCAACGCAAGGTGGGTTTTCAAAACGGGTAGGGGGGAGCAGAAGTGCCGGGAACGGGAGGGGGCTTTCCTTTTGATATACAGCATCAGTCCTGGATGGAGAGAGTGAAAAGGCGAATTCCTCTTTATGGGAATTCAAGATCTTTCAGGTTCGGCGTATTACAAAAGCCACACACACAAAAACATATAACAGCAGAACAAAGGGAAAATCACAGCAGCTGCAACAGCCGGTGAGGAGGCGCGCACACAGAAACGAACGAAAGGAAGAAGCAGGTGGGATCGAGGCCCGGGCAAGGTTATCTAAGCAAGGCAGAGGCAAGGCAGGCCGCCCGGGAGTGGCTGTGCCTGGGACGCCGGCGGAGGCTGCATCGCTGGCTGGGGCGCAGTCACTGGGAGGAAAGGCGGACGAGGCGGGTGGCGGGCCGGCGCCCCTTACCTTCTCAGCACAGCTCTCGGGGTCCCGCAAGCGACGACTCCCCTTTACCGGCTCCGGACGCTGCCGGCACCGTTGCCATCCTGGCTCTGTTGGCTCAGGCCGGGGAGGCGGCCGCTCGTTGCCAGCTGATGCGCCCGGGCGCCGCCTCCCGTGACGCGCCGAGAGGGGAGGAGGCTGGAGAGGGTGGGGAAGGAGGGGTCAGAGGTGCTGGGGCGCAGTCTTCTCCTTCCCGTCTGCTCCGCCCCTTTGGGTTGCTCTCCGCAAGGGGATCTGCCGCAGAAGAGCCCGAAGAGGCACGTCTGTAGGAGTTTTGGGGACACCCTCAGAAGAGAAGGACTTCTTGAGCAAAGCTTGCAGAGCAACGGTTTCGCATGCAAAAGGTCGCAGGTTTAAACCCAACTGGGTTTTGGACCCAAAGCGCCTTGTGAAAGCTGACTGGCCATCGAAATTAGTGGGTTTATTATGAGATGGGCGCTCATTATACATGCAGTTTTTTTGCAGCGTCCACGTCGTCGTTGGCACTTGGCAGGGAAAGATCTCTCCCCCGTCACACACATACACACACACAATTTTTAATCCGGATTTACCCTTTCCCGGGGAAATTCCATGTTTTAAAAAATCTGTTACCAGTGACCCACTTGTGCTTTGTGAATTATTTTATTAAGCACCAAACAGAGCGGCAGCATGTGCCATTAAATGCAGGGAGCGGTGGACAAACACGAGTCTGTAGTCCTTAGTTGGATCCCACCCCTTTATTTTGGCTTGCAATTTGCATAGGAAAGAATAAAATTCCTGACACGCGCAAAGTTGTTGAGCTTTTTGTAGGAAGACAAGACCCCCAAAAAACTTGGTTTTAAAATTGTGGAGCTGTTTCCACTGCTTTTTCCATCACACATTGCCATACATCCGGGTTTTCCCAGACATTTTGCCTATTCGGCAATTCCCCCCCCCCCAAAAAAAAATTTTTGTGCACCCACAAACCAGGACATGTCAGGAATTTTCCTGACGTATGGCAAGCCTAGGAAATAAGAGTTCCATTTGCAACAATGTAAAGTCGTTCACTCGTTCTCTTTCCTCCACCCGCAGCCAATCCTAAGATTACCAACTGACGGGGGCGGGGGAGAACTGAATTGCCCCGCTCTGGCGCTTTAAACAGCAGTTTTATATGACTGATCACCCTTTTAGTCCCTTTTAGCAGTTGTGCAGGCTGTACAGAGGAGACGGATATCCTCTGCAGGCTGCAGCAGTAATATGGATAATCTAGCCCTATGACATGCCAGTGGAACAAAAATCATTCGGCACCAAGCTTATTAAAATAAACTATAATCACAGATACTGGGTAATAAAGTTTTCACCTGCAATTTTTCATAGAGCGTTGAAAGATAGCTCACTAGCGCCCCTAATGGTCATCAAGACCTAGGAAGCTCCCCTATTCCATGTCGGACCATTGGTCTATGTAGCTCAGTATTGTACACATTGACTGGCAGCAGCTCACCAGGGTTTCAGGCAGGGAGTCTCTCTCAGCTCTACCTGCAGATGCCGGAGGCGGAACCTGGGATGTTCTGCACTTAAAGCAGATGTTCCACCACTGAGCTATGGCTCTTCCTATTGCTGTTATGTAAAATACACACCTGTTTCAGAGTGAGGGAAGTTAAGGGTGGCGACATGAAGAGCCATTTCTACAAGGCAACACATCGTCTTTGCTGCCCGCAGAAGCCCTTCCACCACAAGTATATATTATTTTTAGTATCAATCACAGGTTTGATTTTGTTTCAGACACACAATTCTGCCTGCATGGGAAGTATGGAGAAATAGGTAGGGTTCTCATTTGATAAAAGAAAGCATGTTCCGTTAAACAAGGAGGTATCTTAGCAGAAATAAGCCTTGCCGTGTTCAAGGTGGGCTCACTACGAGGTAAGTATGTCTAGGATTGCAGCCTTATAGCACAATTCTAACTGTGTGTACTCAGAAGTAATTCCTATTGAATTCGAGAAGCTTATTCCCACGTAAGCAGGGTTAGGATTGCAGCCTTAGTCAGCCAATGGGGGGAAACGACAGTTCTGGAGCAAAGAGCATACTTTGATTTCCATTGGAAGTGGCACTCCCCCCCCCCCCCCGCTTGGAGTATGAAAATGGGGGTGGGCAGGCAATGGCATATTAGATGGGCCCAGTGGTGCAGGAAACCCCCAACATGCACATTTAACTTGTGTGCATTCAGCTTTACACACTTGGGAAATTATTATTATTATTGTAATTAAAAGGGGGTGGAATGCAGGTGGAAACAAGACTTTGGCAATTGCACCCAGTGTGTGTGTACACAAAATCTAGATGCCATCTTTTGGGTCCCCTCTAAACCTATGATTTGTTTATTTTTTACATGGAAGATGGAATTTCTGCTATGAAAAAGGAACTGCCAAAGTGACCAAACCAGACCCTCTGCCCAATGCACCGCTGGCATATATATATCACTGTGCCTCCCACTGCCAACCTGCAGGGCCAGCCTGGATGGATATCACGCTGGATGGTACCAAAAGCCACTGAGCAATCAAGGACATGCCACAGCGTTGCACTTGGGGAAGTAAAGAGGCAGCCATTTCTGTCCCATTCTGTGTCTATTGCAATCAGCGCTGTTTCTGTGCTACCTGTTTGGCTTCCACTAACACCTACATTGTTCACCTATGCCAAAAACTAGCATAATTTATTACACACCCAATTTCAATTGATGGGAACTGTGTCAAAAGCACAGCAGAGAATAATGAAATGATTTACATAATATTTGCAGGCCAAAATGATACCCATGCCACTCATGTTCATTTGCTTGGTTTACACTCCTGATCTCTGACAAACATGCCAACTGTGGAAATTTCTGCTCCCGTTTCTGATGGAATTCTCCAACGTCCCTAGTTGCACTCTCCTGTCTGTCTCTCTCCCAACAGAGTTCATCCATCACACTCCATGGTGCAATGGCAGGAAATTAAAACATTTACTTGCACAAAACATTGGGTGATGCTCCCACCTGACCCACCTCTTGGCACCTGAAATGGATCAGAGAAGTTATTGTTTACTTATTAGATTTATATTTTCCCTTCCTCCCGAAGGGGCCCAGGGTGCTTAGTTTCGTAACATTATTTCCCTGCCTTTGGGTGTCATTTCTGTAATCGATGGCTGATTCTCAAGTTACGAGAAAAAGGTTCAAAAGCAGATGTACCGACCTCTTGTAACACAATCTCTCCCACAGAGATAGGTGCAGGTTCTAGTTGTGTATGAAGCTCACACCTCCCTCTTTGGAGATGTCATCATTCAATTCACAGGGAACATAGGAATACAGAGTCAGATCACTGGCCATCTAGCCCAGTATCATCTTCTATGTTGACTTGTGGGTTTCAGGGTTTCAGAGAAGGAGTCTTTCTCAGCCATATCTGGAGAGGCTGGGGATTGAACCTGGGACCTTCTGCATGCAAGGCTGATGCTCTACCACTGAGTTACAGCCTTTCTTGCCCATAAACATGCAGCAGTCTTGAAGGCTGGATCACACATTTATGTCAATATATCTATCTACACACAAACACACATTGCTCTTAAAATCAATTTATAACGCTGAACTATATAGAACTATATAGAACAATGCAATACACAATTGATACTAAGGTGACAATTGATGCAATCCTGTGCCTACTTACTTGAACTCAGTGGGACCTACTTCTGATCCTACACATCTAGGGGTTGCACAGGGTACACAAATGTCAAGAAGGTGAACAATAACAATCCATCAAAATGTAACTAAATAATTTAAAATGCTAATCCCATAAGAAAACAATCGTTACTAGATGCCTTGAGCAACAGCTTTTTGTCCTTGTGTGTGTGTGTGTGTTTACCACCACTCTTTGCAGGTAGTGAAAACCCATTCACAATGGCCTCAGGCTGGAGGGGAGTTGTATATATAAATAACCCTATCATTTCCTTGGTTTATTCATATGAGGCATCTAGAAGTGTGTGCTCTGCAGAGGATTCGGGAAGCTCAGTCATATAATGAATGCAAGTGGGACTCCCGACAAAATATTGCAGTGTCGGAGACTCCCAGACCCTCCAAGTGTCCCTATTTTCCAGGGACAGTCCCAGATTTGCAGAAGTCATCCTGTTTTCTGATTTGATCCCGGAATGTCCCACTTTTCCATAGGACGTCCCTATTTTCATCAGAGAAATGTTGAATGGGTATGGAATTATATGAGCATCTTGGCTGAGAGGGCATTTGAATCCTGGTCTCCGAGGTCCTAGTCTGACACTGTAACCATTGTGCCATACTGACTCTCTTTTTTGTACCTTCTGCAAACCTCAGGGTTCTCCCAAGCATGCCAATGCCTCCCATCTTATCTGCTGTTTTGGCGACAATCCAAAACCGTGTAAGTTTATTTTTCGAGGGAGTTTCAATGAAACTTTACAGTTGCAATGCCAGCAACGGGCAGAAGATGGTGATGTGATGTCACAAATCTAAATAGAATTGGCAAGAATTTCCCACACATTAAAACATAATGATAGTGGGTTTATTTGTTTGTTTTTAATAAAAAAACACACACCAGTGTTTAGCCTATCGGGATTTTTACATACCAGTTATACAAGCAGCATCCATGACTCCTAAAACATGGTTCCTATTACGACTCATAATTTGACAGGTGTGGTTTAGGCACTTTGCACACTGGACCAGAAACAGGGTGTAATATTCTGCAAGGAATACTGACAACATTCTACTCCCCTTCTACCCATCTTGTATTCAGTAGTGATCATTAGTTTTCAGCCATGTTCTTCATCATGTTTTGAGTTGGAAGAAGTACCAGTTCCTTAGGACTGATACAGAATAAGAACGTTATCCTCTATCGCCATGAGTCTTCCATTGGAATTGCCTGCTCAGTCTGCTTCCTGTGGTTAATAAGGCTTTAGGGGTTTGCCCTACATCAGATTATGTCTTACTCATCTGCCAGTTGGAAGTAGGGCTTCCCATTCCTTCCCTACACCGATAAGATTATTCTGCTTTTCCTGCTGGCCGACTTACCAACACTCCGTATTTCCCTGAAGAAGGCAGCGTGGAGAACACTTGCCTTAAATCTGTCCATAGGGTTTGAACAAAACACACCGCCACCATCAT